GGAGGGGTGGAGAGTAATGGAGGGAGTGGTGGATAGGGAGGGAGTGATAGAGAGGGGAGGAAGTGGTGGAGAGGGGGTGATGGAGAAGGGAGGGAGGGGAAGGGGGTGATGGGGAAGGGGGTGATGGAGAGGGGAGGGAGGGGAAGGGGGTGATGGGGAAGGGGGTGATGGAGAGGGGAGGGAGGGGATGGGGTGATGGGGAGGGGAAGGAGGGGAGTGAGGGAGGGGGAGGGGTGGTGTAGTGTACATGGTTGTAGATACGTTAGCGTGAATACGTCGTCGCGTCGTTGTCGTCGTCCGTAGCATCGTTGTGTGGGTGCTGGGTGTTGTAGATGTGTTGGCGACGACATGTCGTCATTGGCATAGACGTGTTGGCGTGGACACGTCGTCGTGGGCGTCGTCGTCGTTGGCGTGCACATGTTATCCCGTCGTCATCGTCCGTCGTCGTCATCCATCGTCGTCATCCGTGGTTGTTTTATGGGCGCTGGGCGTTGTTTTGTGTCCATTGGATGTCGTTTTGTGTCTGTTGGGCATCGTTTTGTGTCTGCTGGGCGTCGTTTCTTGTCTTTTGATGGGTGCTGGGTATTTTTCAGTGGGCGCTGGGACGTTTTCGTGGGCGGCGTGTGGGTTTTGTGGGCACCGGGGCATTTTCGTGGGTGCTATGGCCGTTTCATGGACGCTGGGGAGTTTTCAGGGGCGGGGTGTGACGTGTCGTGGTCATGGGTGATAGAAAAGTGATGTGGGTGGTGGTGGCTAGGGGTGACGGTGATAGTGTGGCGTTGGCGGCGGTGACAAGCATGGTGGTGGTGGTGGAAGAAGAGGGTGGCCATGTTTGGTGAGCATGTTCACCAAACAAACATTGTTTGTGATCCATTGAAAATAAATAAACTATAATACAGTAACAAATAAATAAAATAAACAGATTGGACTGGAATCCCATTCCTGCCCACTCCGGGGAACACCATTCCTGCCCATTCCGGGGAAGACCATTCCGGGGAACATTCCGGTGTACATTCCGGAATCCACCGGAATTCCACCAGAATGGAAAACACCGGAATAAACAATTTAGCAGGGCCTTCTGCTAAATTCCATTCCACCGGAATCCACCGGAATTCCACTGGAATGACCGGATTCCTGCAGGAATAGGGGGGGCACTGCTAAGACCTCAGAACATGTGGTATAACCCGGCCCAGTGGCTCAACCACCCTTGGATTTTGGCGTACACGGAAATGGCCCAAGCGGGACCATCGGTTGATTGGACCAAAATGTTCTCGATCCCACAACCCACCACCCCTACCTTCTTTATGGAAGGTTATGCCGGTCCCTCTCCCCCTTTACCTCCATCTTCGACCGATTCATTGCTCCCAGTCACAGTCCCAACTCCCCCATTGCTGGTACCGACAGCTTCATCATCGCTCCCGGCCCCAACAAAACCAATGCGTCAGGCAAAATCAACCGATCCTGTGCCAGCGGCTAAAACGAAGTCCAAGAGTAAGACGAAGTCTGGGCGAAGGAAACCCGAGGCCGGGTCCAGCGCCCAGCCACAATCAGAGGTGACTCCTAACGACACCGCTGCCCCAGTCCAAAGCAAAAAAAGAAAAGGGGACTCGATCGAAGCCAGGCCAAAGAAGACCAGAGTCGTGAGCGCGGAGTTCATCAACAGCAGCAGTGATGAGGAAACATTGAAGCCGAAGTCGGAGTCACTTCGACCAGTTGGTGGGGAAGCAAAGGCGGTTAAACCCAAGTCCCAGCCCCATTTCTCCCGCATGACACCCAGTGCCGGCTTCAGTCTCATCCGAAGGCCCAAGTTAGACCCCGACGCCGGTCCTCCCAAGACCACCATGGCCGCTTTAAGGCAAGCCAAAACTGCCGAACGTCTTGCAAATCAGAATGCTGCGATTGCAAAAGGCAATTATCAGCTTGCGGATATCCCCTGTGAGGCCTGCAGCAAACGCCAAGATCGAGACATTGTTCCATGCGCTATCCGTTCCCCCCCACAACAAGGATCCTGCTTCACCTGCAGTACGGGTAAGACGACCTGCACATATGCAGTAACCAACAAAAAGGACACCGACAGTGAGGTCGAAGACGAGATCCAAAAGGGGTTGCAGGATCTTGAAACGGCCACAGTCTCCGGGGGAGATGCCCAAGTGAAGATCGTGAGGAAGAAAGCGAGGTCAAAGAAGCCGCAGGTGAAGAAGGTGAAGCAGGATGTCAAAGAGAAGGGCAAGCAGGATGTCGAAATGGCCGCAGTCGGGCATGATGTGGAGCATGCAATTGACGTGGACATGGAGGTTGGTCTGACAATGGGAAAGGGGAAGTCCGAGGGTGGTATCGACATAGAGATGGCCGAAGTCAAACATGAGGAAACCGAGGTCGGTGCCATTCCAAAAGCCGACAAAGACGTGGGCCGGGTGACTCCCACCATAATCATTGAGCCACCCACACCACACACATCGGCGATTTTCAAGAGCACTGAGACCGAGGTCGGTACCAACACTGACAAAGGAAAGGGCTGGGAGATTGGGCCGCCAGCCAGTGAGATGGATTGGATCGTGCCCGAGTTAGCAATGCGGCCAGGTAAAAAATTCATGAAACTCGTTATTCTTTGCTGACTTCGTTTATAGAATTGGGCTTGGCTGTCAATTATATCCAACAAAGCTTTACACCCCCATCTGTTGAGCGCACGTCCCGGCCAGAAGGTTCACGTTCGGTATCCCGTTCTTGGCAGGTCAGCCCACCAGATCCCAAGGAGGTTCATCATAAGTTTCAAGTTGTTTTCTCATTTCCCATGATTCTCAACTTGAAAACTTAGTTGACACGGCACTCTATCAGAAGAAGATTGACTTTAGGTCCTTGAGCCCCCCACCGAACTTCGACATGCAGACGATGCAGCAGGAGATCAGAAGACTTGCTCATGGCCAAGCCGACCTCCTGCAGAAACTCCGAGACCAACAAGCGCAAGTCAGCGTCATGGAGTCGTCTACCCCTACTATGCGAGAGTATTCGGCATTTGTGGTCCAAAAACAAGATATTGATGCAAGTGCCCTTCTCCCCCCGGCGGTTGACTCACCCGTGACCCTGTCACAATGTCTTTTGGTGCTCGAAGAGATTACCCGGTGTATTCAAGATCAAGATTTGGCTAGCCGTCCTCTGTCGGAGAAAATTGCAAGTCTAGAGACCTCCGTTTGGTTTCAGGAAGAAAAAATCACCAGAGCGACTTGCCGGATGGACCGTATTGAAGAGTCTGCCCACATGCGTTGGAAGGAAACACAAGAAGATTTGCAGTCCATCCGAAGTGATCACCAGAGACTGGAAGCCGAGGTGAGGGAAGCCGTCAAGACACTGGAGAACAAGTGGGAGACTACGCCAGCTGCGTTACAAGAGAGTCTCACCCGGGGCTTTGAGAAACTTGCAAGCCACATTGAAACTGCTGAGCTAACGCTCCACGACCTCACCAAATCAGTCACTACTATTTCGGAGCTCAACCTGCGGCTCGGTGCTCGCCAATCAAGTCTGGAATCGCTCATTATCCAGTTCCTCGGCAACAAGGAGAAGAAGCACACTGGCATCAATACCGATCGCTCAGTCTCACCCGACCGTGGTCAGAAAAGCCAGCAGGTACAAGTCTCCCCGACCCCGGGTGTCGTTCTGCCAAACCCAGTTTCAACCGATCACGCGCAAGTCTCTCCAACCCCGGCCATCTTTCTGCCTCCAGCATCTGAGAGCCCAGCGGTCCTTCTGTTGGCACCAAACCCAATTCCTCCAACCCGGGCAAGTTCGCCCGGTCCTTACATTGGGGGTAATAGGAAGTCACCTCGGCTACAGAAACTCGAACCCACACTTCAAACCCCTGCACAGAGTAAGTCTTCTACTTGGTGAGGATTCAAAAATCTGACTGCCAGCAAGTTACAAACAATGATGTCCAAACTGTCCAAACTCCGTCTACTTAATAGTTAGTAGCATACATGTATATTTTTTGGACAATCTTCAAGTTTTTTTTGGGCATATTTAATATGAAGTCCTGTGGTGGACATAATAATGAAAGCAGTAAGGCCTCGGCTTCTTTCACAATCCAGTAAACTGTGACCGGCAGAGAAAAGCGGGGGGATCTTGGAGCAACTTTGTCCAATGGAGACGAGCATAGTAACAGCTTGGCGTTTATTTCAGGCAGCCGAGTGTGGTTGTTTGAGCCAGACCCGTTCCNACATGGGTATGTTTACAAGAAACATTGGTCGGTATAAACTTGGTAGGGATTTTGAACCGGGGGTGTGCATAATATATCTCACTGCCTTGTGAACGTCACCGTGCTCGGCTTCTTGGGAAGTCATGGACCCAGTAAACTGCATGACCGAATACTGGACCATGACCGGCAAAGAAAAGCCGAGGTAATGTTTGAGCAGAGTGAAGACGAAACTCGGCCGTATAGTGTCAACTGGATGGGACCAGGTTGGGCTGATCCACGCTGCATGGGATTCAAAGCTCTTCAGCAGACCCATGACACATGAGCCCATTCCATGAAGAGACGGGTTGACCCAGGATCCAAGGCATATTTAATTCATGGGGTACTAGCTGACTGACCATGTCACCGTGCTCGGCTTCTTGGTAGGTGATGGACCCGACCCAGTAAACTGCATGATGACCGGCAATGAAAAGCCGAGGTAAACTTGGCAAATAAAAATGAGACGGCTGTGTGCTGATCCACAATGCATGGGATTTAGAGCTCTTCAGCTGACCCATGACACATGTTGAGCCCAATCCATGAAGAGATTGGTTGACCCAGGATCCAAGGCATTTTTAGCTATGTCAATTCATGGGGTACACTTCTCAGCCGATGCACAGTACCAGTCCTAAGAGAGTCTTGATGGCCGGTCCACCTTTGATGGGGTCAACTGATCCATGGGCTCATCAGCAGGCACCATCAACTATGGTCTGTTTGTATGGTCGGGGGGCTCAGTATTAGTGGGGTAAGGTAACTAATACTTGTGGTAACACAAGACTCTGCATGCCGTGAATGGCATCATTGAGAGAAGTGTCTGCTGTTGAATGTTGGGTCATCATCATTAAACTGGTAGCTTGTTTGCTGTCTTGGAACTGTCTTTATTTATCTACTTACCTCACTCTTTGAATTTTAATTTTTTGTTAAAGATATACAACAGATTCTATAGGGTTTTAGAGCAGAGGGTTCAGGTTGGCATTACAGTCTGGTTAGAAAAATGAGTAAAAAGGCTTGCAGATTAAATGGTATAAATTGATAAAGTATTGGTTAATGCATTTAAAATGTATGAATTTAGGAAAGGGCATGATGAAATTCATTAAAAAGTAAGGTGAAATTTGAGATCTGTTTTTGTATCAGGTAGATAATAAAAAATAACTGATGTGGACATGTGCGCAAGTTGAACACACTTGACCTGCACACAATATTTGGATGCAGGTCAAACATATTTGACCTGCACATGTTATGTTGGACAATGAAATATTTGATGTGGATAAGAAGATGTGCACAAGTCTGACACACTCGACCTGTGCATCATATTTGATGCAGGTTGAATACAATTGATGTGTGAGGATATATTGTAGTGTGCAGGTTGAGTGAGTTCGAGCTGTGTGAAATGTGTTGCAAAAGTGAAGTGTGATTGACTTGTGGAAACAAAATTGAACAAATTGGATGTGCGCAGCATAAGGATTATGAAATACTTGGGTAGTGTTTTTAGGTGTTAAGGATGGTAATATTGTATGATAAGATCTGACATTTAGATTTGGTTTTAAGATCTGATGTTGAGATCCCTTCCATATTTCACACTATTTGACCAAAACAAGCCCTTTTCTTACACCTATATCTCAACAACCACTGATCCAATAGATATGATTCAAAGCTCCATATACTTCAGTTAGCAAGTACTTAATTCTCCACATTTTTTTAGACCCTCACATGAAGTATCTATAAAACTCTCAAAACCCCATTTTTTTTCACTTTTTCCTACATGAAGCAGAGCATGACAGGGCAGTTAGTAGGAATCACCCACCAACACTGAGAGCCCTGAACATACAAACAGGCCATAGTTGATGGAGCCTGCTTATGGGCCGATGAGGGATAATGACCCTGTGTTGATGAATTGGCCGATGTCATCCCCACTATTGAGGTAGCGAAGGGTCGGCCAGTGACGTAAATTTAGCACAGCCGGATCAGCAGGAAGTAAGCCCAGAGAGAAGTAGGTGGTATATCAGCTGATGGATGATAGCTTTGCAAGGTCGGCTGACAGTTTTGAATGTTCCTGGGTTCGTGATTGGCCGAGGGCCTTAAATTCTGATTTGAGGGGTCAGCTGGTGGGATTCACATTATTGTAGTTATGGTTCGGCTGATTAATCGAGCAAATGGATACAGCTACCCAGTCGGCCAACGAAACTGGACAATTCATGAACTCTGGATCAGCCAACCTTTTACCCCTTTTCAAGATGGATCGGTATCTGTTTTCCCCTTCGCTTTTATTTTAGGCAGCCGAGCATGGTTGCTTGAGCCAGACCCGGTCGTTCCTGCTCAGTTTATATGTCTACCATGTTATCTTTATAGGCAAATTCACTTGTCCAAGACAACATCAGTCAGTATATTTTACAGCAGCCGATAGTCAGGACCGGGGTTCAAGTCCCAAAGGTGATATCTTCATTTCTAAATTGATAATTTTTGAACACAATCCGGCCTTTCGAACATACTACCGGTCCTAGGTGGTCCGGTTCAGTTCCCTCAATATCTGGGTCAGTCCTAGACCGGTTGCGGTCTGTGGTTGCCTGTTTTCAGGGCAAAAAACCGGACTGAACTGGACCTGCGAACACTAATGACCCTTGCTCACCGAACAAAAGCACAAAGCCATTGAATTGTGGACCCATCTGCAATGGATATTTTTGAAGTGGAATCCCTGAAAGGTTAGCTGTTCCCCAACAATGCTGGTCAATCTCACAGCAAAATAGTGCCAACACAGAAGGATTTTCAGGCTAATCTTATGGCCAGAGAGCAGACCATCAGGAATGCTTTTGTGTTGAATCTGCCTTTGGAAGATAGCTTTGAACATGATGATGACATGGAATTGCTCACAGAGAACCTGCCCAGCTCAGACAATATGTTACCTGAGAATATGAATGTCATGTCCCCCATGTTACTCCCAACAAAACAAAACCCGTTCCTGGTGATAACTACCTGAAGTGCTTGACCGAAGGGAACACCTACACTCCAACGCTCCATCATTGGGTCAGATTGCGGCGTCCGAGACTATACAAAGGCGATATCGCCCTGATAAAACATGTTGACGAGCGGTCTCTCCTGATCGACGTCGCTGTTGTCCCACGGCACAACTTTACTGAAAGCAAGAAAACCTCTGGACGCCCTCCACAGAAGTTAATGAATGTGTTTGAAGTGGGACACCTTCTCGGTCCTAGCAGCGTTTCTGCAAGAAATTGGCGGTTCCAGATCACGGATCCAAAAGGTCACGAACAATTATATTGCGAATGTGGTCACCTACTTCTCAATGACCTCGACACAAACTCTTACATCCCAGCGGAGGCAATGCCCACCATCGCTGAACTGGAGATGTTCAAGCCTTCTTACGATGTTCCAGAGAAAGTTCTGACTAAAACTCGGGACAGAATCATGCTAGAGTGTCTCCGTTTCGGAGATCAGGTTAAGATTCTCGTT